TATATAAGTAGTTATAATCATATTACCCGTGGCAAACCTTCAGATTCAACATTTACTGCGAATTTTCTTGTACTCATGTTGACATCTTTGAAGATGTTGCGAATCATGAAAAGGAGAACCACCGCATATGCCTTTACATAATCAACCAGGCCCTCATTTGTGTATTTCTGTGCTGCACAGTTGAATGTAGTGATACTTCTCTTCTCCAGGTTGATTACAATCCCAAACCAGTAAGTTTCTTCAACCTCAATTACCGAATAGAGGAAACCGATATTCTTCTTCATCTTGTACTTGTCGAAGACTCTTGTAAACTCGAAGCCTTTCTTGTCATCTAAAAACTCATCATAAAGTTCATCAATTTCCTCAAGAAAATTTACTCCAACAACTAAGGCAGTTTTGTTAAGAAACAAATCTGGATTGTTTCTCTTTCTCAGTTTCAGCAACTCCAAACCAGCTTCAATATGTTGCAAAAAAAAAATACTCATAAAATCTATCAGAATTATAAAGAAAATAAAATAGAGTTATAAGTGATTATAAATAATATACAAATAAGTTCATCTATTCTAACCATTTTTGAAAGCTTTCTTCCTGGAGTTTCAAATCTGAAAACCACTTTGTGGTTACTAACGCTTGATTGACTTTTATTTTCCTACATTAAAACATACATACTAAGTAGAAACCTATTTTTCACCATCATGAAATTTATAATACCTTATATAATAAATCTTACCTGTTTTTCCTTGACATTTTCCAGTCTCTCATCTTTTCCTTTCTTGTTTTATCAACTGGCTCAAAATGATGAATTATTGGATGCTTCTTTCGTGCTTCTGTAAATTGTGGTTGCGTATGAATTGATGGTATTTGACCTCTTTCACTTCTTCTTAGCTCAACATTATCTGGATTAGTTTTATTCTTCTTTTTAAGTGGAGGCTCAATATCATCATTTGCCTACACACCAAATAAATATTTTTTTTATAAAACTTATAAAGTTTAAAAAACAAACCCGGGTGTCTTGTTGTATCAATCTCTTTTTAACTTTCTTGAGAAGTTGGAAAACAGGAATCTCACAAACATCTCGCATAAGAACTTGATTCATGCAAATCGTTTTATGAATATGTACATGTGAACATTTTTATCAATCATAAAATAGTGTATAAAATACCTCATTTTCACCCTTAACACTATGACGAATTTCTTGGGAGAGAAGATCAAACTTAGGTGTTGTAAATGTTGGAATAGGCGAGGAAACCTGCAGATACAGATCAATTTAAACTAGATAAATTAAATTTTTACAAGGCGTTATAAAATATCTTTAATTTATGCCCTTGTATCATAGTTTGGAGTATTGAATGTTTGAATAGACGACGTGACCTACAAAAAAATAAGAAATGAAATTTGGCAAGCCTTAAATCCAAAAATTTATAAACCTATATATATCATATGTTTAGATTTTATATCTACGACTTTTGTTTCATGCAACTTCCTTCTTCAACTTTTTATGTGACTTCGTCTTGAATGATTTTCTGTGTATTATTATTTTCTCCAAAAATACTCTCTTCTTCTGTTAAAACCTCTGTATCAAAATTTGCTTCTTCATTACATATCTCTTCTTCATTTTCATCATCTGGTGCAATTCTTCTGTCCTCAGAATTTCCTTCTTCATCAACTGGAACTTCTTCATTTTTCAACATCAGTTGCGCTTCTTCTATCACCAGATTTTGCTTCTTCGCCAATCGGAGCTTCTTCATTTTCATCATCATCATCATCACCAGAAATAGATCCATTCTTGAAATCTTCTTTATCACCAGAATTTGCGTCTTCGTCAATTGGAGCTTCTTCATTTTCATCATCATCATCACCAGAAGTAGCTCCATTCTTGCAATCTTCTTTATCCATTGAACCGTCAGGGAACTTCAAAAAATCATGTCAAATCGTTAGAAAAAATAACATATGATTTTTTTGAAGTTCTTGGTCAAGTCAGTTACTTACATTAATCTCTAAAAAATTCTGGATCGTCTCTACTTGCCTACCCAAACCTTGAACCATTTGGATTAGCTCATCAAGTTTCTCACTGTTAGGCTTGGAATAATCTTCATCTTTTCTTTGTTCCTTATCTTTCTCATACTCTTCATCTTTATTATCTTTGTAATCGTTCTGATTCTCTTCATCTCTCTGATTCTCTTCATCTTTCTGACTCTCTTTAGCTTTGTCATGGTCTAAATCTTTCTCATGCTCATGCTCTTCACTTTGTCTTTTGTCCTCCGTTGCTCACCTATGGCTTCTGTTGCAACAAAAATATCCACAAATCCTTGTTCCCAGTCTCTTTTCGTCATTTTGTATCCTATGAGAACCATGTTTATAACGCTGTAAAAGTCCGAATCATCCTCATGTATTGTATTCACCAGATGTTTGTATTCCTTAGGAGATCCAAAAATTGTATCAACCACAACCTATAACAAAAATAAAACATGTGTTTTATATTCCCTTGTAAATCTCATATTTATAAAATTATAAGACCGTGTAAAACAATATTTCCAATTTTTTGTGAACACTTCACATTTTTTGCAGGCTTTTTTCAATGAATCCATGAATCTCTCTAGAAATATACTTTCAAACATTTTCTAATATGATCATATAGATTAATTTATAAACGTTTATAAAAACATACATTATCTATTTTCTCTATCACTGACACTTCGGTTATGGTCTTACTCTTTGTTGAGTCTCAATGCAGAACGAGCAGATCTGATGAAGAGGACGTCTCGCATGGTTTTCCCAATGATTGGCAAAAAACACTCACCGAAGACATTGCCCATAAGTTAATGGCGATGACAAATCACTTACTTCATAACCATCTCCTAACCAAGAACCTGAATCCAAGCTTTTAATACTCTTTCACAAGACATTATATGCAACTCTACCCCAAGCACCTTTGGAAATGTGATAGTTCATGTAACTCAACATCCTCTCTTTCGGGATTAGAGTTCCTGTCTTTTCTGCAATAATCACTCCTTCTGTAATTATTTCTACTCCAAGTGAGAACCTTTCCAGTGTTGTCATTCCTAGTGCTTTCTTCTTAAACATTTCATACAATGTTTCCACCGTGTATTTATCCTTCTTGCATAACATCCACATGCAAGGTTTTTTTTACCACTCTGTCACACACCTTCACTTCTGTTTTATCTTCTTCACATGCTAACCCTGTTGCCATATAGAATTCTCTCGTTGAAAATCTTATAGGCTGATCGACGAAGGTAAACCAAGGTGCTTCTTCTTTTGTCAATACTCTTCGCTGCATGAGGAAATAAAAAAGACTCTCTGAAAACTCAACACTGGTTCTTCTGACCAACTTCACTACGCTTCCAATGTGGGAGATTTCTATCTGAGCAAACTCCGTTTTTCCTAAAACGACAGCAACATTTTCCACATAATCCATTCTTGAGTGTTGGATGATGACCTTCAGATTATCTGGTGGTTCAATTCCAGCTTCATAAACTCTCTCAGGCAAACACATGGATGTGCAAAATTCATTGCTATCTAAATGCAAAACAAAATTCAACATGAAGCTCGTATTTAGAAAGGGTTATAAATTCAACAAAACGATGATGTGACTTATGTTCAAGAGAATTAAATCTCTACGAAAAAACTAACAAAAGTCCATAATCAATAGCATTCAAGAACAGACAAACAAAGAAGAACTGACACCTGATGTTTACAGCTCAGATCAATAGGGTGTGACTACGTATACAAAACGTTAAAGAGCATTTCGCTATTACTCTAGGATTGCAACTATTAAAGATTGAGAAAGCCATTAGAGATCATTACCACTTCATGAGAGACATATATAGTGATGTTATACTATGTAAATGATAAGTTTCACTCCATAGCCCATCAACTTGTATGATTGGCTATTAACACAAAATTCAACATTAAGCTCGTATTTTAAAAAGGGTTATAAATTCAACAAAACAATGATGTGACTTTTAATCATGGTCTACAGATACGTTATTCAACGATTATAGATTCAAACACTAATCGATTACACGGATCTTAAAACCACATGAAGCTCGTATTTTAGAAAGGGTTATAAATTTGCAAAATCTCACCTCTTTCCCTTAGACTGAACAAACCAATACAAAAATTGAAACTTTTGAATTTGTATAATCTAGCATCTTAAATTGAATAAGGAAAATACAGATTCGAAGAAAAAAGAAACTTCGAACACGACACCAGATTTGTCTAATCTAGCAACTTACAAATTGGGAATTAAATTGAGGAGCCGACATTATTCTCCGTCAAGATCTTCTGTTGTTGATTAAACACATCACCGGAATCACCGAATTCGCCGTCGTTGAAGAGAAACCGATTTCATCGGAGTCGCCGTCGTGAGAGAAACTGATTTCGTCGTGGAAGATCTATTTTCTTTTCTCGACGAAAATGATATCTCAACTAACTTAGGGACATTAAGATCATTAACCCTTTAGTAATTTATGTATTAATTCATTCAAAAAAAAAAGAAAGTAATATATGTATTTATAAAAATGTCTCCCTTCTTAAAATAAATGTGAATTAGTGTATCCAAAAATGTGTATTTATGCAATTCTCTCTAAAATTTAGGTCTACATTAGTAAGAGAACAATATGATATCGGTTGATATGTTTCTACTCAGATATATTTAGAGATAAGATTTGAATTTTAGCATCTAACTATATTAAAAGGAGGATAACTAGCAAAGTTAGCCTATCCACGTCAGACTTTTTAATCAACGAATCATACTGTCCGAAATTGCCACGTTGGCGTCATGAGTAACGAATTTGATTTGGGCCTTACTTATTCTGCCAGGAGCCCATCCTCACAAATTACTAAATCATTGAACTTTAATGACCCTTTTCCTCTTCCTCCTCCTCTTTCGTTCTCGATCTGTCCATTTACGTTTTTACAATCTCTCAACCCACCTCTCCACTTTCTGAAACAATCAAAGCCATGTTTTATCCTATTTAATGACTTCTTTTCATATTCTTCTCGGTGTCTTTCCTTATAAATATATATTTGGGTTTCATTGCTCGACACAAACCCAACAGATTCTCTCAAAAAACACTTTCGATGGATTCCAATGGCAAATCTCCAGCTTCTGGCGTCAGCAAGACGACCACGAAGCCAAACTTCTATCTTTATCGACGACACAATTGGCCTTGAGCTTGACGATTATCTCTGCATCGAGACGGTCCCAAGTCAAGCAACTTAAAGCCAAGAAAACCAAACCGGAGAAGAAACGGGTAACGACGCCATCAACAACGGTTTCTCGGGAAGAACATCGAAGGAACTGATGTGGCAGTGCATAGAAGGTTGTGGAGCTTGCAAAAGACTTCGTTCGCCACACCTGACCAAAATCTTTGACGACCCTGATGATGTTGAGGTTATGTTTATTATTTCACCCACCACATGTTCGACGAAATTCCTCTCTGTTTCATTGTTTTTGAAGTTAACATGTCATGCTTTAATCTACTATAGCTGTATCGAAGCATGACTGGTGATGATGTTTGGTGCATAAACTACGACAAATCTACACGCAGATACTCCATTTATGCTGGTAAATTTGTTAATAAATAATTTTTTTTCTCTCTCTGATTATTTCTTGAAGACTGGAACAATGCTCAACATTTGTAACGTTCCGTGAGTTACAGATCGACCATACTTCTGCCGGGTTGAGCCAGAGGTTTTCAAGACTCTTTACAGGATTCAACAAGGAAGCTTGCAGGTATCCTCAATGTTCCTCTTGCAAGAACTTATTATTATTCTCTTTCACTAGCTTTTAGTATTAGGCTATTGAAGGCAATTCTATCTGAATCTTACTAGAATGTTTTAGGTTCAGCTTTATAAACTTGCTAAGATTAATTAAAAATTTCAAGACAAGTGGTTCTCATCTATTTACAATGCAAAGGTGAGAACAAATGGCGTTTATTATGTGAAAATAACGAATGTGTCTTACTCTTTCAAAGGCCAAGAATCTTGGCAGGTTTCTTTTTTTTTTTTCAAAATGTAAATCAACATGAGAAGCTGGTTACTTGCTGATTTTTCGTTTCTGACTATGCTATTGAATTTCATTGCTTTATCAAGGTTTCTGACATATGTAATGTTTTGTTTAATCATGTAAAATAGTTGTCGCTCTCCTTGGTTCTTAGATATTTTCTATTGTCCTTAGGATTGTGGTACTCTTACTGCATTGATACTTTGTACAAGGCGACTAGAGCATAATTGTTTGGCTTATTTTAAAATGTCATTATCATTATCATTAACGTCTGTGAGATATATGTATTTTTTTTGATATTTACAGCCACTGATCCAACTTAACGGAGCAAAGTGCAAAAGCTGTGAAATCTACGGGAAGAAAACTTTTATTTTCTTCTCATTTCACGGCGGAGAGCTTGAGAGTAAATACGCACATGTCAAGGACAACAAATTTTACATTTTGTGTTCTATTTTACATAGTCCTACACCTTTTTGAATACACTGGACTGAGGGTTGGAAAAAGCAAGTTTGAGTACGGTAGGTATGATACTTTTGTCTTCCAATGTTAGCTCACAAGTGTGGACTGGTGAGTTTCCAAAAACAGTCCATCTTGAGCTTTAGATTCATTCAGATGAAATACTATTTCATCCAACTAGAATGGAACCTCCCATGTGTCTCTGTTTTTTCTAGCTTTATAGTTGGATTATGGTACAAGTATAGTTTCTTCTTCGTCTCCCCATTCACTGCAAAGATGCTGAAAGATGTATACAGACCTTACATCAGAGCCAAAAACGTTCAGGTGATTAAAAGTCTCATCCTTTCTTTCAGATCTTGGAATCAGAACGTTTCATCTGATTGGTTGTTTTTGCGATTGATTATTGGGTTCAGTTGGTAGAGAAGGATCCCGAGAAAGCAATTCTGCTCTTGTGTTCCGCCATTAACGATGGAGACAGAGTTGACAATGTTCTGAAAGATAGGCTATCGTGATGAAGCAAGCATGATCGGCAGAAGATGCTATCGAATCTATCAAGTCTCTTAGAGTCAGGTGTTCAGATAAAGCACATGAATCGCTTGACAACAACCTCTTGGATCTATACAAGGTACTCACTTTACAACAAAAAATAGAACATCCTCTGTTTTTTCTCTGTTTGTTTCCTTCTGCAATTGATTGAGTTCTTACTGAACCGTTGTGTGTTGTTGTTGTTTACAGAGATGTGGGAGATTAGATGACCAGATTGCACTGTTGAAACACAAACTCTTCTTGATACATAAAGCACTTGCCATTAATGGCAAACAAACCAAAATCTCTGGATCTCAGGGGAAGAAGTTTCAAGTTCTCTATCTATCGCACAGGACAACAACAAGATGTGTAACCTTGGAATCTGTCTTATGAAGAAAGGCAGGATCGATGAAGCCAAAGAGACGTTACGGTATGTGAAGCCAGCGGTCGTGGACACGACCGGTCTAGATGCTTACGAGAGACGCTTATAACAATCTTGGCTCCAAGATGATGAGAAGCCGAGGGGCGATAGGGTGAGCAGAGAAGCCTTTTCGACGCCATGTTTGGTTCTTTCTTTGTATGGCAGCTTCAGTCCTGTAAAGAACATAGGGTAAAACCTAAGGCGAAGCCAGATTTGATAAATGGTGGGTACGGTGACAAGAACGTGAAAGACCAATGTGAATGCGAATGTAGTAGTAAACAACCCATTAAGGGTTACTGCAAAACTGTTCTTCTCTTCGAAGTTGATCAGCAATAACGAGAAGCTGAAGAGGAGAAGTTCGTCGAGTCAAACTATGGCAATATTGAGTTGTGGTGGTGGTGGTGATGGAGAGACAAACACGAAGAGAAGATTGTTGATGGAGAAGAGAGCCATAAACTCTGGATTAACAGACATCAGGGAGTTTGAAGAAGCATTGTCCTCTCTCAGATCATGGTTGTTTTGGGGACAGATAAGAAAGTGTTGGACAAGAAGAGGCTCCAGGTTTTTCAGAACATTGTCCTCTCTCAGCCCTAGAGTTTACAATGTTTTTTATTATCTACAGTGAATTTATAAAGCTATTATTAATATTTATTTTAATTTATACTATGAAATCTATTATTTTAAATTATGCAAAAATTGAACTTCAGTTATCATTTTTATATCAACTTAAAACATAACCCATTACTGTTTAAAAACTTGCATATTCTTAAAATTACCAAATAAACTATATCATCCAATATAATTAGGACTTCTTCATACAAATATTATTGTTTAGATTTGAAGGTATAGTAAGTGATTATATTATTTCCGAATTTCTTTTGTGTATAAGTTTTTACACTGATTTTATTACATATATATAATTCTGGTTATGTACGTAAAATTATTTCTAATCAAGTTATCTGCTAACAAATTTAAAATATGGTTACATGGCTAAGATTAGGAAATGATGGAAAAGAGTAATAATAATTTTGAGACCACTTAACAACTTTAGTAACATATATGAAGATTTATACCTTTGTTGTGAGGATCCATAAGCAAATTACTATAAGAAAATCCATATATAACATGTGAAGACATTTCAATGAAGAGGTTATTAAAAAATATTTTGCAGTTACACATGCGAGAAATATAGAGAGAGGGAAGGAGAGAGAGTCAGCTATTCTTCGTTTTTTGGTCAAAAAGAATCACCTCTTAAAAGTTTTTATCCGTAGTATCATTCGGTAACCGTAAACCAACTTTTGTATACTAACATATCTATTTATTTAATTATATACTAACATATCTATTTATATAATAATGATAATAAATTATTTAGGCGCTTTAACTTTAAATATGAGAATTAAAAGATGAAAAATCGCTTTACAAATATTAATATAGATTATTAGAATAAATATAAATAAATTGATTGAATAAAAGTTTAACTGAATCATACAATCCGCGCGTAGCGCGGATAAAAAATCTAGTTGTTATAAAAGTAAAACAAAGTAAGTCTTTTGTTAATAAGAAAAGTTTGCGTTTGTTTTTCTGGAAAGAAAAGTAACATGCACTTAGTGGGCGTTTGTTCTTATTATATTATGGCTCAAACATAATTATCATATAATATTTGTTATTGATGATTTTTATAAATAAAAAAAGAACAGAATTACGAATCTATATTTTATGCTTAAAAGCTATTTTCTATATAATTTAAGTAGCGTCACAAAATTCACTTACATTATAGAACTTGTGACAATAATTTTTTTAAAAATATTTGTGTATATTACTATTAAATAAAATACAAAATTTTAAATTATTAAGTACGTATTGGTAATAGTTTATTCTTTAATTATACACCAGGATTTGATACGAGTTTAGAAAACGCAGATTTGTTTTAGAAATTAAATAAATTATTGTAAAATTAATTACTATATAAAGTAGTGTATAGGTTTGCGCACAATCGTAAATCGAACTACTGTATACAAAACTAAAAAAAAAAAAAAAATTAAGATTGAAATGAATTTCATAACTAACCGAGCAAATCATATATTTCTGGAAGTTAAGTTCATCGTAAGTAAGGGGAAAACAAATGTATTGTCGTTCATCAGTGTGGAAGCTAAGAACTTCGGTCTTGACACGAGGTCTTTGTATTTCGTCCTGGTTGTATAAGTTGTTTTGAAGATCTTCCTCTTGTCGTATTATGTTGTAAGCTTCTTCCAAACTTGATAGAGGGACCTGAGATGTTACTTTTGAGTGCACTGTCTGAGACTTTACTTCGCATATACAACGGCATTTGGTCACGTTGTTGATTTGTTTTTTTGGTACCACTCACAGAGTAGCAATAAAATTCAAAATTGGGTTTCCAACTAATTTCTCAGACTTCAAAAAACTAAAGTATTTGTTTAAAATTTATAAATGTTGAGTACATGATAAGGAGAACACAAGTAAAAAAAAGACATAAATCAGTAAAAACAATCACAATTGAAGTGAGGGAAAAGAGAAAGATATTTTGTTTGTTTTTGTTCTTTGCTTGAGGCATGTAGCAAAAATCTAGACTGAAGAAACAAAGTTCTCCGTACACAGCACTGTTCTACGGTGTTCATCACTGACTTGCTCCAAAAAATTATTAGGTGGCTCATTGCTTCTGGGGCTAAGATTATACGCTGCAAGAGAAAGCTTCCAATAGTTTGTGTCTAAACAATCCATACTTGAAGTGTCAATTGTAAGGATATGTTCCCACTTCACACTCGGATCTTCTTGCTGCAAACACCAAACTTCGACATCCGGATACTGTAGCACATCAGATAGGCATAAACGATCTCTTAGGCTCCATAATGTGTACACAGTTTCACAGTATTTAGAGTATGAACGCGGTAATAACACATCACGAAATTTTTCAGTGTGAAGATCTATGGCTCCAAGCATTGGGGTGAAAGTCGGGGCCCTATAGTGTAACTTTTTCTGCCAAAAAAGTGATCCATTTGCGAAGACTGGTAATTTATCATCGCTTAGTTCATCGTAAGTAAGGGGAAAACAAATGAATTGTCGTTCACCACTGTGGAGGTTAAGGACTTCGGTCTTGACAATATTATCACCCCCAGCAGGTAAATACATCAAGAGTACTTTGTATGCTCCTGTCACTATGTCTCTTCCAAATCCCACACTAACTGGCAACTTACCCGCCCAACCTAAGAAAAAGCAAGCATTTTCGAAAATCAAATATACGTTAAAGTTTATGTCCATCTACCTTTTGCAACTAATCAAATATTAAATGTATTTTTAATTACGTAAAAACTAATCAATAAACGTTGAATCAATCTCTTAACAAAATTTATAAGTAGAAGTGGTTCGTACGTACCTGACAAGCCTGTATACTCTCGCAAAAGCTCAGAAGAAAGAATCCGGAGTTTTCTCGTAGCCGGGTTAATCAGATAAATGTATCCTAAATCGTAGATGCAGACTAAACCGTTGCAGGACCCTATTATCGAGCCAACATCATTGGTTGGATAGGGATGTGGAAACTTGTAAGTATAAATAATGATTTTGTCGTGGTCCTGATGATTTTTTGAAATATTCTCCAAATATATGGTTCTTGAATAACGATCCGTAGACATTTCAACTCTTAGAACAAAGAGTTTCGTATTTAACCTAGCAAGGCTTTTCTTGGCGAGATAGCTGGACTAGATCATTGTTTTCCATTGTTTCGACACGGATTTGAATCTACAGAGGGACTTATCAGGAAGACGGCCGAGAATCTCGAGAAGCCAGCCTTCTGATACATGATCCGTTACAACTTGGACGATACGAGGTCTTTGTCTTTCCTCCTGGTTGCGTGAGTTGTTCTGAAGATCTTCCTCTTGTCGTATTATTTTGTACGCTTCTTTCAAACTTGGTAGAGGGATCTGAGATGTCACTTTTGAGCGCACCGTTTGAAACTTGTGCCCATCCAGTCCATACAAGAATTGGTGAACCATATCTTCTTCACGTTCTTTCTCTTGTAAAGAAGCCAAATCACATTCACAGTGCCCACACTTGCAAACATGCAGCGGCCTATAGTAAGTGTCCATGATTTTGGTGAGGTTCCTATAATAAACTTCCACAGGCCTTCCACGCTGTTTACAATTCGCCAAGTCTTCTTTTATCTTTTGTCTGCGAGGTCCATTGGTGACAGATAAATGCCTCTTCAGATGTGAGAGGTCAGGAGGAACAGGAATGTGTGTGTTGGTCGTCAAAGTTCCCGGAGTAGTTGTGTTCGGCTCTCCCATTGAGAAGACAAGTAAAGTTTATTTTTATGCGCTTAGATTAAAGAAACAAAGACAAACAAGCATTTGATTTTCTTATGTTTTTTTCTACATGTTTGCTATATATATATATATATATATATTTTTTTTTTCTACATGTTTGCTATCTTTTATTTATAATTGTTGTTATCTATATAGTTGATATCTTTAACCATAGTTGTTTCATGATTATTTCCTTCCTCTTTTGCATATACATTTCAGGGAACTAATCTGTAATATTTTATGTTAGACTCTATTTATATAATTGATATCTTCTAATTATAGTTGTTAATCTCTGATATTTTATGATAGCTTCTATCTATATAGTTGATATCTTTTAATTAATTGTTATTGTTTTTTTTTTCTTTAAGTTATAATTGATATTATTGATTCTCTTCCTTTTTGCATATAAAAGCCAGGGAAACAATCTGCGATCTTTTATATTAGCTTATATCTATATAGGGTTGATATAGTTATATATAAATGTTATTTGATTGTCTTCCTTCTTTTCCTTACATTCAACTCACAAAATTAACTAGGTGTTTTGCCCGCACTTGCGGGCTTAATAATTTTACTAATTTCTATAAATAAATATATAATCAGTTTATGTAAATTATAATAAATTATAGTTCATAGGCTCAAAATATTTAATAATAAACTAAACAAATTCTTTCTATATATAAAATTTTTCATCCTCATGTAAATAATTTTCATTACACAACTTATATTTGAAAATACTCATGAACTTAAAACATTTAGTAATAAATTAATATCATTTTTAGACATAACAAAAAAGTATAAAAATTGTCTTTAATAATGTTTTGGATAACATAAATTCTTTGCGAATTGATTTTTCATAATTAACTATATATTAACAAATAGAATTATTTTCAACGTTAATAAAGACTTTATAACACAATATAAAAAAGTTAGATAAAGATAATTATCAAATTCATGAGATTCATTTTTTAATTTAGAATTAATTATATGTTAACAAATATAATTTATTTTCAAAGTTGATAAAGACTTTATCACATAATATAAAAAAGTTAAAATAAGAATAATTATCAAATAAAGGAAATTCGTTTTTAATTTATAATTAATTATATATTAACTAATATAATTATTTTTTAAGGTTAATAAATACTTTATAACCGAATATAAAATAGTTTTAGATAAAAATAAATCTAAAATCATTGAAATTCGTTTTTTATTTATGTTTAATTATATTAAAATTTTTAATTATTCATTAAGGATATAAATGATATTAACCGCTCTAACTTTCAACGTGAAAGATACAAATTAATCAGCAAATTCACTTAAATTTTATAATTGAAAAAATATTTTTAAGAGAACAATCTAATACAAAAGAATTAAGGAAAAATTTCACTTATACCACTTTGGTGGTACCACTTTTCATTTTTACCATCAACAAATGAACATTTTCAAAAATACACTTTTCATTAAAGGATAAAAGACTCTTATACCCTTAAACTTTATATATATAAAATAAATATAAACACAAAAAAAAAAAATTCAAATTATACTATTTCGAAATTCAAACCCTAAACCCTAAATTCTAAACCCTAAACCCTAAACCCTAAATTCTATACCCTAAACCCTAAATTCGAAATCTTAAACCCTAAATTCTAAATCCTAAATTCGAAATCTTAAACCCTAAATTCTAAACCCTAAATTCAAAATCTTAAACCCTAAATTCTAAACCCTAAATTCGAAATCTTATACTCTAAAATATAAACTCTAAACCCTAATCCATCAAAACCTTATTAAAATTGTTAAGTTTATTAGTTAAGGGTATAATAGTATTTTGCCTATTAAAATTTTAATGGTAAAGTTGGTTAATATAAAATTGAAAAGTGGTATCTTGAAAGTGTTATTTTTGGCAATTTACCAAGAATTAACATATTTTTTTAGAAATATAATATTATTAACATAAATTCTTTTTTTATATAATAAATTATTAAAACATGAAAATAAGCAAAATAACTTAAAATCATGGAGAAGTTGACAATTAAGCAAATTTACTTCTAAAATAATAATTGAAAAATATATTTTTAAGATAACAATCTAATACAAAAGTATTAACATATTTTCTAAAAATATAATATTATTAACATAAATTCGTTTTTATTATATAATAAATTATAAAAACATGAAAATAAGTAAAATAACCTAAAATCATGGAGAAGTTGACAACTAAACAAATTTACTTCTCAAATAATGTTATAGACTAGGTGATTTTCCCGTGCTCATGCACGGGCATGTATATTATAAAATAAATATACAATAATAATTGATTGATATTTACTTTAATTTTTAAATTAGTTGATAGTTTGTATGTCTAATTTATATTCTAATATTATATTACTTTAATTATATATATAATTTTAGATATGTTATATTTAGTATGTTTTATTGTTTTTATGGTCGATTTAGTTATCATTTAGATATATTGGATTCTATCTATTTCTCTGAATTCAACTATAATATTTTATATTTTAAATATATTAATTTTTTATTAATTTTCTTATTTGCATTTATGCTAGTTGTTATCTTAGAAATATAAGTATATTTAGTAAGATTATATATAACTTAAGATTTTTTTTTTGTGCTTAGAAGGAAAAAAAATAAAAACTGAAGTGTCTGATTCTAAATTACATACATAAGTAACTAATGAATTTTTAGAAGCTTTTGAACACATATCAATATTTATAATAATTAAAATATTTTATAAATTCTAAATAAATTTATGCTTTAGATTGATTGGATGGCAAACTGAAATTTATTTTAAATAACTTTAAAAATAAAGATTCTGATTTGCTTAAGTATTTTGACTATGATTATATTAAGTTTTACAAACATAAAATTAAAAATCAAAAGATTTATTAAGAAAACATATAATTTTAACTATTAAAATATAATATATCTACCTTGTTAATTTATATAGTGTTATGGTATTTTAAAATAATTGTAGTTATTTTCTATTTTTATGTTTGTGAAACTTAATATAACCATAATCAAAATAATTATGTAAAATCAAAATCCTTATTCTTAAAACAGATAATTTTAACTATTAAAATACAATATATCTACCTCGTTAAATTATATAGTGTTATGATATTTTAAAATAATTGTAGTTACTTGATCAAAAGATTTTTATTATTAAATTTATTTTTAGTTTTATTTTTAGTATCTCTTAAAATAGTCAGTAAAAGTGATTGTTTTGAGAAATTATACTATATAAGTAAAATAGAATTTATATTTTTACTATAATTGTAAGATACTATAGTCAAATAAATATACTAAAAAAATAATTTCAATAATACTAATTATAAAAAATGTCAATTAAACATATATTAGTTTATGTTAGTTGATTATTTTATGTAATCATCTAATAAAATAGATATATATATACAAAAATAATTATTTTGAAAATATATGTATTTTATTATTTAAAATTATTTTTAAAGAAAAAATATTTCTTTTTCTAATAGCAATATCTTTTGTGTGAAATTGTTTTACGAAATCACATTATATACAGATATTGTTTTTTTTATCTAAGAAGATATAGATATAAAGTATTTTATTACTTCAAAGGGTATATTTTATGTTATTTAAAATATATTTAAAAATATTACTATTTTGTGAACTTTCCTTTTTATTAAACATATTATATATACTTATATTTTCGTTTTTAAATAGTTTTGTAAATTTTATAAATGTTTCCTTTTTATTTTATATTGTTATTTGGAAATTTTTAAAAAAGGAAATAATAATTAATTGTATTTTTAATTCATTAGGGGTATCATAGTAATCAACCAGCGTGAGAGTTAACGTGAACGCGACACCTAAGAAATTGACTTCTCAAATAATATTATAGAGATATGTTAATCTATGGGAAAATGGGTATTTTAATCCCCAACTATTTAAAATTAGCAAGTTTAATACTGAACTATTACTTGCACGATTTAAGTCCCCAACTAAACGTTAACTTAGCAAATTAAGGTTTTAAAAAGTCAGACGGTAACTCATAAACGGATCCCGTTAGTTTAATAGGAAACGCTGTTCGTAACTTCGCAATTGTCTCTCTCAAACTCAAAAGCCCCAATTTGAAACCCAAACTTAAGCGAAGATTAGAGATAGCAAAGTTTATTTCCGATGAAACATTGTTTCATGTCATCAAGTTGCTTTTAGCTTTCTCTTCTGCGCAACTAAAGATCCAGAAAAGGAACAAATGAGATGAATATTCTACAAAGGCATGGAGATCACCACTCGCCTGCAGCCTTGCTGATCAAGTAGATTGACAAAACCAT